GACCAGAGAGAGACCAGAGAGAGACCAGAGAGAGAGACCAGAGAGAGACCAGAGAGAGACCAGAGAGAGACCAGAGAGAGACCAGAGAGAGACCAGAGAGAGAGACCAGAGAGAGACCAGAGAGAGAGACCAGAGAAAGACCAGAGAGAGACCAGAGAGAGAGACCAGAGAGAGACCAGAGAGAGAGACCAGAGAGAGACCAGAGAGAGACCAGAGAGAGACCAGAGAGAGACCAGAGAGAGAGACCAGAGAGAGACCAGAGAGAGACCAGAGAGAGACCAGAGAGAGACCAGAGAGAGAGACCAGAGAGAGACCAGAGAGAGACCAGAGAGAGACCAGAGAGAGACCAGAGAGAGAGACCAGAGAGAGACCAGAGAGAGAGACCAGAGAGAGACCAGAGAGAGACCAGAGAGAGACCAGAGAGAGAGACCAGAGAGAGAGACCAGAGAGAGAGACCAGAGAGAGACCAGAGAGAGACCAGAGAGAGAGACCAGAGAGAGAGACCAGAGAGAGACCAGAGAGAGACCAGAGAGAGACCAGAGAGAGAGACCAGAGAGAGACCAGAGAGAGAGACCAGAGAGAGACCAGAGAGAGACCAGAGAGAGACCAGAGAGAGACCAGAGAGAGACCAGAGAGAGACCAGAGAGAGACCAGAGAGACCAGAGAGAGAGACCAGAGAGAGACCAGAGAGAGAGACCAGAGAGAGACCAGAGAGAGAGACCAGCGAGAGACCAGAGAGAGAGACCAGAGAGAGAGACCAGAGAGAGACCAGAGAGAGACCAGAGAGAGAGACCAGAGAAAGACCAGAGAGAGACCAGAGAGAGAGACCAGAGAGAGACCAGAGAGAGACCAGAGAGAGACCAGAGAGAGACCAGAGAGAGAGACAAGAGAGAGACCAGAGAGAGACCAGAGAGAGACCAGAGAGAGACCAGAGAGAGAGACCAGAGAGAGACCAGAGAGAGACCAGAGAGAGACCAGAGAGAGACCAGAGAGAGACCAGAGAGAGAGACCAGAGAGAGACCAGAGAGAGAGACCAGAGAGAGAGACCAGAGAGAGACCAGAGAGAGACCAGAGAGAGACCAGAGAGAGAGACCAGAGAGAGAGACCAGAGAGAGAGACCAGAGAGAGACCAGAGAGAGACCAGAGAGAGAGACCAGAGAGAGACCAGAGAGAGACCAGAGAGAGACCAGAGAGAGACCAGAGAGAGACCAGAGAGAGAGAGACCAGAGAGAGAGACCAGAGAGAGACCAGAGACAGACCAGAGAGAGAGACCAGAGAGAGACCAGAGAGAGACCAGAGAGAGACCAGAGAGAGACCAGAGAGAGAGACCAGAGAGAGACCAGAGAGAGACCAGAGAGAGACCAGAGAGAGAGACCAGAGAGAGACCAGAGAGAGACCAGAGAGAGACCAGAGAGAGACCAGAGAGAGAGACCAGAGAGAGAGAGACCAGAGAGAGAGACCAGAGACAGACCAGAGAGAGACCAGAGAGAGACCAGAGAGAGACCAGAGAGAGACCAGAGACAGACCAGAGACAGACCAGAGAGAGACCAGAGAGAGACCAGAGAGAGAGACCAGCGAGAGACCAGAGAGAGATGTGTGTCCTCTTGCATGTGTGTGTGTGTGTGCTCTTGCATGTGTGTGTGTGTGTCCTCTTGCATGTGTGTGTGTGTGTCCTCTTGCATGTGTGTGTGTGTGTGTGTGCTCTTGCATGTGTGTGTGTGTGTGTGCTCTTGCATGTGTGTGTGTGTGTGTGTGCTCTTGCATGTGTGTGTCTGTGTGTGTGTGTGTGTGTGTGTGTGCTCTTGCATGTGTGTGTCTGTGTGTGTGTGTGTGTGTGTGCTCTTGCATGTGTGTGTGTGTGTGTGCTCTTGCATGTGTGGGTGCCTCTCTGTGTGTGTATCTCTGTATGTGTGTGTTGTTTGTGTGTGTCTCTGTGTGTGTGAGTCGTAAGCACTCTCGCCTCTCAGCAAGAAGGTCCTGGGTTCAAATCTCGGTCGGAACAGGGCCTTTCTGAGTGGAGTTTGCATGTTCTCCCTGTGCCTGCGTAGGTTTCCTCCAGGTGCTCCGGTTTCCCCTACCTCTATAAACATGCTCAGGTTAAATCCTCCAGCTCTGGTCCTGACCCAGAGCATCAACATCTGGAGATGGTTCAGGGCGCTGTTACTACGGCGACCACTGCTCCTGACGTCAGCCTTAGGGCATCAGGGTCAAATGCAGAGGAGGAAGTGCCCCTTTACCTTTATGTGTGTGGGTTTTCTTGCATGTCTTTGTGTGTGGGTCTCTCTCTCTGTGTGTGTGTGTGTCTCTCTCTCTCTGTGTGTCTCTGTCTCTCTCTCTCTCTCTGTGTGTGTGTGTGTCTCTCTCTCTCTGTGTATCTCTCTCTCTCTCTGTGTATCTCTCTCTCTCTCTCTCTGTGTGTCTCTGTCTCTCTCTCTCTCTCTGTGTGTGTGTGTGTCTCTCTCTCTCTGTGTATCTCTCTCTCTCTCTCTCTCTGTGTGTGTGTTAAACCTCTGCTTCCTGGTTCTTCAGATGGCTCCGCCCCTCAGCCCGCCCCCTCTGGCCGTACGTGTCTTTCATATTCAGCCTCAGTAACACTTCTGTGATAATGATGTAGAGTCAGATTGTGCAGTGGTTCAGACGGTTCTCAGGTCTTTGTCTCTTCCTCTTCCTCCAGTGGACGATGGACTCGGCTTCTTACCAACGTTCGGTCCGAGTTTTGTGAATCTCTACGGGAGTCCGAGAGAGTTCAGCTCCTTCAGCGACCCTCATGAGGCTCTGAACCTGGGCAAGGTACCCTTCCCCTTATACCTTATATTTGGACCAAAGCTCTATCCTCTGCTTCGAACCCGGACCAGATCTTCTCCTGGTCCTAGTCCTGGTCCTGGTCCTGGTCCTGGTCCTGGTCCTGGTCCTGAAGGAGGTGGTATTTTGGGCTTAAATCTATGGTTTATCGTTCTCTGTGATCCTGGTGTTTATATTGTGAACTAAAATGATTAAATTATTAAATGAGTGTGTGTTTCTGTGTGTCTGTGTGTGTGTGTCTGTGTGTGTGTGTGTGTGTGTGTGTGTGTGTGTCTGTGTGTGTGTGTTTGTGTGTGTGTGTGTGTGTTGCAGGGGGAGGGTGTAGCGTACCGTGGTCGTCTATTACTGGAGCTCAGCACTAAACTCGTGGATAAACCTGAGCCCAGGACTGATGACATCACCTGTGACGAGCAGCTGGTGGTCGAGGTGACATCACAGTGACATCACACAGAGTGACATCACACAGAGTGACATCACACAGAGTGACATCACACAGAGTGACATCACACAGAGTGACATCACAGTGACATCACACAGAGAGTGACATCACAGTGACATCACAGTGTGACATCACAGTGACATCACAGTGTGACATCACACAGAGTGACATCACACAGAGTGACATCACAGTGACATCACACAGAGAGTGACATCACAGTGACATCACAGTGTGACATCACACAGAGTGACATCACACAGAGTGACATCACACAGAGTGACATCACACAGAGTGACATCACACAGAGTGACATCACAGTGACATCACACAGAGAGTGACATCACAGTGACATCACAGTGTGACATCACACAGAGTGACATCACACAGAGTGACATCACACAGAGTGACATCACAGTGACATCACACAGAGAGTGACATCACAGTGACATCACAGTGTGACATCACACAGAGTGACATCACACAGAGTGACATCACAGTGACATCACACAGAGTGACATCACACAGAGTGACATCACAGTGACATCACACAGAGAGTGACATCACAGTGACATCACAGTGTGACATCACACAGAGTGACATCACACAGAGTGACATCACACAGAGTGACATCACAGTGACATCACACAGAGAGTGACATCACACAGAGAGTGACATCACACACAGAGTGACATCACAGTGACATCACACAGAGAGTGACATCACACAGAGGGAGGAGGGGCTGGTGGTTGAGGTGGATTTCGCTCTTTCCAGACTCACTGGGGGAAACAGGCCTCTTCTACCTGTAAACGTTGAACCACAGCTGTATACAGGTTTGATACGCACAGTGGTTACCATGGTTACTGAAGCGACAGTGGTTACCCTGGTTACTGTGTGTACTGTGGCTTCAGTAGTTGCCGTGGTGACCCTGGTAACAGTGTGTACAGTTGTTACCGTGGCTACAGTGTGTACAGTCGTTACTATGTGGTGACCCCGGTTACAACAGTTACTGTAGTTACCGTGGTGACCCAGGTTACAGTGTTTACTGTTGTGACCCTGGTTGCCATGGTGACCCTGGTTGCAATGGTTACCGTGGTGACCATGGTAACAGTGGTGACCCAGGTTACCCTGGTTACAGTGTGTACCGTGGTGACCCTGGTTACCCTGGTTACAGTGTTCACTGTTGTGACCCTGGTTAATGTGGTGACCCTGCTCTCCTCGTCTTCAGAAGTTCCTGCGGAAGCGTAAGTTCTCGCTCTTCGTGGCGTTCTATTCGGCGACGCTGCTGCAGGACGTGGATGGCGCTGTGCAGTTCGAGGTCAGCATCGGTAACTACGGCAACAAGTTTGACACCAGCTGCCTCCCACTGGCCTCCACCACACAGTACAGCTGCGCCGTGTTCGATGGTAAGGAGCTCTATAGTCCGTCGCACATGGTCCAGGCTCTGTAGCTCTATGGTCTCTCCCACATGGTCCTGGCTCAGTGGTTCTATGATCTGCCTCACATGGTCCAGGCTCTGTAGCTCTATGGTCTGTCCCACATGGTCCAGTCTCTGTAGCTCTGTGTCTTATCATGATCGAGTCTATCTAGTTCTATGGTCTGCCTCACATGGTCCAGTGGACCACATGGAACCAGAGATAGAGACTAGAGAGAGAGACCAGAGAGAGCGAGACCAGACAGAGAGGGAGACCAGAGAGAGGCCAGAGAGAGAGAGACCAGAGAGAGAGAGACCAGAGAGAGAGAGGCCAGAGAGAGAGAGACCAGAGAGAGGCCAGAGAAAGAGAGACCAGAGAGAGACCAGAGAGAGAGAGACCAGAGAGAGAGAGACTAGAGAGAAATGAGCCTTTTTACTATCACATTTCAGTATCTCTGTCTCCTCATGGTGTCTGTCTCCTCATGGTGTCTGTCTCCTCTGGTGTCTGTCTCCTCATGGTGTCTGTCTCCTCTGGTGTCTGTCTCCTCTGGTGTCTGTCTCCTCATGGTGTCTGTCTCCTCTGGTGTCTGTGTCCTCTGGTGTCTGTCTCCTCTGGTGTCTGTCTCCCCATGGTGTCTCCCCATGGTGTCTCCTCATGGTGTCTCCATGGTGTCTCCATGGTGTCTCCCCATGGTATCTCCTCATGGTGTCTCCTCAGGGTGTCAGTATTATTACCTGCCCTGGGGTAACGTGAAGCCGGTGGTGGTTCTGTCGTCTCAGTGGGAGGACATCAGGCCCAGGATCCAGGCCCTGAACCTGCTCCAGTCTGCAGCAGACCACCTGGTACTGAGACCCTAGAGACCCGCTCCCTCTGGTCTCTCTCTGGTCTTTCTGGTCTTTCTAGTCTCTCTGGTCTCTCTCTGGTCTCTCTCTGGTCTCTCTGGTCTCTCCCTGGTCTCTCTCTGGTCTTTCTGGTCTTTCTAGTCTCTCTGGTCTCTCTCTGGTCTCTCTCTGGTCCCTCCCTCGTCTCTCTGGTCTCTCTCTGGCCTCTCTCTGGTCTCTCTCTGGTCTCTCTCTGGTCTCTCCCTGGTCTCTCTGGTCTCTCTCTGGTCTCTCTCTGGTCTCTCTCTGGTCTCTCCCTGGTCTCTCTCTCTAGTCTCTCTCTGGTCTCTCTCTGGTCTCTCCCTGGTCTCTCTGGTCTCTCTCTGGTCCCTCCCTGGTCTCTCGGGTCCCTCTCTGGCCTCTCTCTGGTCTCTCTCTGGTCTCTCTCTCTGGTCTTTCCCTGGTCTCTCTCTCTAGTCTCTCTCTGGTCTCTCTCTGGTCTCTCTCTGGTCTCTCTGGTCTCTCTCTGGTCCCTCCCTGGTCTCTCTGGTCTCTCTCTGGTCCCTCTCTGGTCTCTCTCTGGTCTCTCTCTGGTCTCTCTCTGGTCTCTCTCTGGTCTTACTCTCTGGTCTTACTCTCTGGTCTTACTCTCTGGTCTTACTCTCTGGTCTTTGTCTCTGGTCTCTCTGGTCTCTCCCTGTCTCTCTGGTCTCTCCCTGGTCTCTCTCTCTGGTCTCTCTATGGTCTCTCTCTCTAGTCTCTCTCTGGTCTCTCTCTGGTCTCTCTCTCTGGTCTCTCCCTGGTCTCTCTCTCTAGTCTCTCTCTGGTCTCTCTCTGGTCTCTCTCTGGTCTCTCCCTGGTCTCTCTGGTCTCTTTCTGGTCTCTCTCTGGTCTCTCCCTGGTCTCTCTCTGGTCTCTCTCTGGTCTCCCTCTGGTCTCTCTGGTCTCTCTCTGGTCTCTCTGGTCTCTCTCTGGTCTCTCCCTGGTCTCTCTCTTGTCTCTCTCTCTGGTCTCTCTCTGGTCTCTCTCTGGTCTCTCTCTGGTCTCTCCCTGGTCTCTCTGGTCTCTCTGGTCTCTCCCTGGTCTCTCTGGTCTCTCTCTGGTCTCTCCCTGGTCTCTCTGGTCTCTCTCTGGTCTCTCTCTGGTCTCTCTCTGGTCTCTCTCTGGTCTCTCCCTGGTCTCTCTGGTCTCTCCCTGGTCTCTCTGGTCTCTCTCTCTGGTCTCTCTCTGGTCTCTCTCTGGTCTCTCTCTGGTCTCTCTCTGGTCTCTCTCTGGTCTCTCTGGTCTCTCTGGTCTCTCTCTGGTCTCTCTCTGGTCTCTCTCTGGCCTCGCTCTGGGCTCTCTCTGGTCTCTCTCTGGTCTCTCTCTGGTCTCTCTCTGGTCTCTCTGGTCTCTCTCTCTGGGCTCTCTCTGGTCTCTCTCTGGTCTCTCTCTCTGGGCTCTCTCTGGTCTCTCTCTGGTCTCTCTCTGGTCTCTCTCTGGTCTCTCTGGTCTCTCTCTGGTCTCTCTCTGGTCTCTCTCTGGTCTCTCTCTGGTCTCTCTCTGGCCTCGCTCTGGGCTCTCTCTGGTCTCTCTCTTGTCTCTCTCTGGTCTCTCTCTGGTCTCTCTCTGGTCTCTCTCTGGCCTCGCTCTGGTCTCTCTCTGGTCTCTCTCTGGTCTCTCTCAGGTCTCTCTCTGGTCTCTCTCTGGTCTCTCTCTGGTCTCTCTCTGGTCTCTCTCTGGTCTCTCTGGTCTCTCTCTCTGGGCTCTCTCTGGTCTCTCTCTGGTCTCTCTCTCTGGGGCTCTCTCTGGTCTCTCTCTGGTCTCTCTCTGGTCTCTCTCTGGTCTCTCTGGTCTCTCTGGTCTCTCTCTAGTCTCTCTCTGGGCTCTCTCTGGGCTCTCTCTGGTCTCTCTCTGGTCTCTCTCTGGTCTCTCTGGTCTCTCTCTCTGGGCTCTCTCTGGTCTCTCTCTGGTCTCTGACAGATTAATGGTGTCTGTTTCAGGAGAGAAACCTTAGGGCGGTGAAGCTGGAGGAGCAGGCAGGAGG